TACACTTACAAATACTTTTAAAGAATCCTTAAAAGAACTTGCTGAGGTAAAATTTAATCTTTAAACGACTTTTTTTAATCATTTTATTTTGCTTTACAATTTATTGTTTTTTAATCTACAGCTTTCAGCTATACGCAATACAAAAATACCCATTTGCACCAACAGAATCCCATCAGTTGCCAACCATACAAAAATACCCATTCACTCCAGCAGAATTCTATCAGTCGAAGAAACTCAATTAAGCAAGAAAAGCCACAATCATCTATTTGTCATTCAAGGCACAGATGAAATTTATTTAGTGCACTTGCCATTATTTCAATTAGAAACCCATCGTTATCAAGTCATTATCAAGGTTGAAATACCGAAAAAAATAATGGAATTGTATAAGGACCTTCGTAAAAAAAATCCTTTAAAAGTATTATTGCTTTGTTACCAAGAAAATGCTACAATCGACCAAATTGCAATCGAAGGAAGTTCTTTCAAGGCTCATATTATAGAAAATTTTGATCTTTACACAGTGTTAAAAGAGTACGTAACTTGAAATGCTTTCATTACATTTTATTGTATATTTAACCTAAACTGGTTTTTGTATCATTTATATTGATTCTCATTCATATAGGCGTCCTAAAATGTCTTCAATAAAAAATTTTAAGGTGAAAACCACTAAATTACTCAAGAAACGCAACTTGGGATTATCCTACCAAGATAAAGACTATCCGATAGATCGTATTCCATTTTATCTTTATGGAACTGAAAATCAATTACATATTGACCATATACTCCTTAAATCTCCTTCTATTCAACTTTCAGCTGAGAATGTTCAAATTAAGTTCACATCAGGAAAACTTAAATGCGAACAGAAAGAAAGAGGTGTTATTGTTCACATGATTGCAAAAGAAGAGATGGATGATTCCATTATTGATTTATGTGAAGTTGCTATGCAACCGTTCCCAGACACAAAATACCTTGGAAATTCATTCTTCTTCAAAACCAATAGCCAATTTCATATAGAACTATACGAAGACCCGGCATTTGAACCAACTTTAAATGGGCCAGGTTTAGATAATGTTAATCATATAACACCATTTGCTACAGGGAAACTTATATTGCCTTCTATGAGTAAAGGGGGCTTGTATATCGATTCTCACTTAATTAATGCAGATCCGATAATAGAAATCTCAAAAAATAAAATAGTTAAATGTACTATTCCATCTGAGCCCTGGAAGAAAAATAGGAAATGTAAAAGCAATAATGTCAAAACTCTCTATCCACGCGAAGCTTCTAGTCTGGTTATTTAATTTGTTGGGAATTAGAAGATGGATATAAATAAATCCACAATTATATATTTTTACGATCATAGTTCAATGAAGCCCTGCGTATTGTTTGAAATTTTTATAACGTAACTTTGCGTACTATGTCCTATTTGAGTACCGCCAAGGGAAAACCTGTCGTATAGGGATGTTAAATTGCGAATCCATTCCGGTCCGATCCTAGGATCTAAAAAGACAGTCCTGGACTCGATCCTTTAAATCACATGAAAATACAATACATTTTA